ATTTTGGAACTTTTTAAAAAAAGTAATGAATATGAGGGACCTTCAAAATTTTATGGAAATGCACATAATGGAAAAACTGCCTGGCTTTAAAAATTCTATGTCAGAATAATCTTACCTTTTAATTCCATTTTCCACAAAACTTTTGCAATATCATTATATGCATGTAACCCAAATACATGCATATTGGGGCAGGCATTTGCACAGCTGTTAAGATGCTACCTGTGAATCACACATCCAAGACGGGAACGCCTGGTTTCAAGTTTTAATTTCCTTCACATCCAGCTTCCTGCTAATGCTCTCCCTGGAGGCAGCAGATGAAGGTTCAAGCACGTGTATCCCTGCCACATACATGGGAGACCTGGGTGGAGTTCTGGGCTCCTTCCTTCAGCCTGGCCTAGCCCAGCCTGCTAGACACATTCAGGGAGTAAACCAGACAATGGAAATTCTTTCTCACCCTCTCCTTCTGCCTTCCTTTCAAATAAATGAGAAAACTGCAAATTAAAAATATATATGGATGTTGGAGCCAGCGCTGTGGTGTAGCGGGATAAGCTGTCACCTGCAGTGCTGGCATCCCATATCAGCACCATTTCAAGTTTTGGTTGCTCCACTTCCAAAAATCTACTTCTCTAATAATGCACCCGGAAAATCAGCACAAGATGACCCAAATACTTGGGCCCCTGCACCCATGTAGGAGACCTTGAAGTGGCTCATGGCTCCAGGCTTTGGATCGGCCCAACTCCAGCTGTTGCTGTTGAAACCAGTGAATGGAAGATTGCTCTCTCTCTCTTTCTCTCTGCCATTCAAATAAATAAGTGAATCTTTAAAATATATACATATGGATGTTTTTTGCCTGTGTATGAAGCTCATATAAATATATAGTGTATACATCCTGCTCCTGCTTTTGTATATGTTTTCAGGATTTATCTGTTGCTCCTCCTCTTCGTGGAGGAACGACACAGGACCCTGCGCTGTTCTTTTGTCTGCTTGGCCCTTCCCGGGTTTGCTGCTGGTTCTTCCTGGGTTGGCTACCGACCCTTCCACCTCCGTGGAAGGGCGGTTCCCCCTAGCCACTTTCCCCACTTCCGCGGGGGAGCGGCACACCGCCGGCCGGCTCTCTTGGGGGCTGCACAGGTGTTCCTTCAGATAGATGTTCCCGGTGCATGTTGTCTCTCTCCTCCTTTATAGTCCTCTTCCACCAATCCCAACTCTGCTACCCACACGCCGAGTACGCTGCTCTCCTCCAATCAGGATCAGCTCCTGCAGGTTATTGGTTGAACTGGAGGCAGCTGTGTAGAAGCTGTTTCCTCCTCTCCCAGCGCCATATTGTGGGCAAGCAGATGCATAGAATAAGTCTTAATTCCAGTAACTTAGTATAGTCCGAGTTGCTCCCAGTTGCTCCCCACATTTATCCATTTATTGAGTGTAGCTTTTCATTTGCTTCATTGCTGTGTAGTATCCTAAGTTTTACAAGCATTTAGAAAAAAATCATATATATATAAATATATATATACACACACACACATATACACGATTTCTGTTTTAATATACCTAAAGGTAACTTTGAATGCATAAGGTAGCAATTTGATTTCATTTTTTTCCAAAAGTATCATTTATATGATCTGTAATTCCTTGTTTCTCAAAAACCATGTTTCCATATACATCTATAGCTATATAGATGAGTTTGTTTCCAGGCAATCTCAGGGAAAGTTTAGAAAGGTGCTCATTAGATAATTAGATGGATGGATGGATAGTTAGATATAGATGTGGATATAGAGTAGCTATAGATATGGGTTTCTTTATAGGTTATCATACTTTTCCTTTGGCTAATTTGCTTAATCATTCATCAATTGCACGCTGCCTTAATTACTATAACATAATGGGGTCTGACATCTGCTAGAATAAATCTCACAGCTTCTTTTGTAAGGATTGCCTTGTTTGTTCTGAACTCCCTTTATTTTGTCTTATACATTTAGAATACATCTAAATAAATTTAGAATAAATCTATTGCATTCCATAAAAACCCCTGCTGGGATTTCAATTGAATTGCAATTAAAATTTAGATAGATTTTAAAAGAATTGACTCATTTTAGTTTGAGGCTGCCTACCTAACAACATGACATTTATCTCAATTTATTTATGACTTCTTTAATGTTTTTCAGAAAGCTTTATTTTCTCCATTAAAGCCCTGAACATTTATAGTTTGACATATCCCTAAGTACTTATAATTTCATTATTATTCCACATTATCTCTTATAAAATTTAATATTGGTACTATATACAGATGCAACTATCTGATACAGTTTTACTTTTTTATATTTAGAAATCTTTCTAGCTTTTTAATTGCAATCATTAATCTGTAGTTATTTTAATGTAGAGAAAAATCTGAAAACAATGTTCATTTTCTTTCTGATTCTTATGACTTGTTTCTCTTTCTTATTCTCCTTTTGGATCTCAGGAGTGTGTGTGTGTGCATGCAATCTTTCTTTCAACTTGTGTGAAAGTTATAAATTTATTCACTGTTACTTTAAGAATTTCACTGGCTATTTTTTAAAATTAGCCTTTTTTTCCCTCCTCTGAGGAGTTAAAGTTCAATGCCTTATCAGATGCCTCTTCTCTACTTGTGCACTGTTCTTGCTAAATATGGAACTTTTGGTCCAATTTCACACTACTACACACAACCAGACATTACACATACACATACACTACAGGCTTTGCTCATTACTTCTCTTTGCAACTCAGAATTCCATTTATGAATGAGATACCTTTAGAATTTATGGTAATTATTATGTATGTATTATGAGGATCTTTCAGTGGCAAATTCTATCAGCCTAAAAAGAAATTTCAATTATAAAATTCTACATTGACAGTTATTCTTATAAACTAGAAAATATCATGTCATTGTACTTTAGGTGCATTGTTGTTAAGCCTTCAGCCTCATTTTATAATTTTGTGCTTAAGAGCTGTTTGTCATTACTGATCTGCAATTTAGTTATGATGTGTCTAGGTGGCTTTTGCTTCTTCTATTTTTTATTTATTGTACTTCCAAGATCTGAAAGCATTCCATAAAATTCCAAGGTATTCTAATATTATCTCTTCTCTGTCATTCCCTTTTAAAAATTGTATTTATGTAAAAGTATATTATGTATTTATAGATGCAATTGTAAGATGATAACCATACTTCCCTCCTCTTTCCTTCCTTTAATTTTTGCAATAATACAATTTCAATTTACTTTATGGTCACAGAGTGAACGCACCACTAACTATAATGTTCAGAAAGTGAAAAGCAGAAAGATCACTGTTCCACAGGAGTAAAGATAAGCGCTAAAAACAATCAAATCATAAGATGTCAGTTTTATTCTTAGACATTGTTTTTTAAAACAATGCATCATTCCCTTTTGAAACTCCATGTTAGTCTTTTTCACATTCTTATTCATATCTTTAACCTAATATTTTTATTTCTGAATTTTCACAGCATTTTTTGTTATTCCTTGAGATCCTTTTTTCTAGTTTACTAATTCACTTTTCAGATACTTAATCTACCCTTTGAAAAAAATTAAACAGATTTCAAAGTTGGACTAAAGAAGCTTGATTGAGTTCATTTGTATTCACTGAATTTCATGGACATTCTGGACTATTTGAACTTCCTGGTGTTTCAAATATTAGCAGTGCATGTTTTGGATCCCCATCTAGAGCCCCTTCCCCTGATCTGTATGGTGGCTGTTGACAGCATATTGAAGCCTCAAATCTTGGATCAGGCTGCACTATGGCAAATAAATAAATGAATGAATGAATGAAAAACTCACCCCTCACCTTAAAGAGTAAAGGAGAAGACTCCACACTGCAGTTTATGCTTTAGAAAACCATTTGCTCTGTAGATTAAGCCAAGACTGGAATTTTACCTGAGGTCACAGCCCTGCTCAACAATTTCCCTTTCCACATTTCCCATCTCTTCCTCCTTCACATGTATTTGTTTTTTTTTGTTTGTTTTGATTTTTTTGTCTTTTTGATGGATGCTCCAGTGATAAAACAGGCTCGTCCTAATCATTTTCTCAAGCTCAGGAACCCAATCTACATACTCTACTTTTCTATTCTTGACAACCCATAAATATTTTATATTTTATACCACATATACAATGAACTTACAGTTCTGTTTCTATTTTCACACATAATAACTTGTTTCTTGGTGTGTTTTGTGATTGCTAACCTTGAATATCTGTTATCTGGGCTTTTTTATTTCTTTGAGAATTAGGTTAAACTTTGTTTTTCCAAAGTCTGTTTATGTTTGTTTCTCATCAGGATCACTGACAAAAACACTTTAACCTTTTGTTATCAGGTTTTTCAGACCATATCAATATCACAAAATGTGGTATATCATTCTGCTCAAGGGCCAAAATGTAATGAGAAATTACTCCCATTTGTTGATTCCTACATTTTTTTCTGGTTGCCAACATTATGTGGGGTTTCTTTTGAGCTAATATATCCTGGACAGTCCTTGGCTTTTTCCATATCCCATCAGTGCTGAAGTGCTAGATCCTTAGGATTTAGCAGAAACTCTTCAGTGAAAGCTAACTCTGATCTTTGCTTCCTTCCCAGATTTCCACCTACATTTCATTTTGGGGTCTTAGAATTTCTTATTTAAATATCAGCTCTTTTAAATGGCTTTATCCAACCATTCCACCTCATTTCCCTGGTATCTAATCTCCCACAATTTGCCAAACCACAAATTAATGGTTTATTACTGGAAACAAGTATGTACACACTTCCTGTTTTTTTCCAAGTAAATATGTGATGATGTATTGCAGTTTCTCAGTAACTCATGAAAATTTATATAAATCACAATTCTTTTATGATGTCCATGGGGCTATTATATAGGACTCTTTGTGTAACACTATATTGACTTTTATGTTGCTTTAATTTATAAAAAGCTGACTGGAGAGAAGATTGGGTGTGAAGCCAATAACTGAATTTCAAATTACACAAAGTTTTTGTGTTACTGTTAGCAGGCACAAGGGTCCTATCCAATTGGAGTGTTGCTGAACAATCAGCCTCAAATGGAAGTTCCTCAAAGGGAAGCTTTACTTAGGAAAACTGAAGGATACCCTGGAAAGGTGTGGTGCCCGAGAGAAACTGCCTCCCTACGAAACAACTTGCCAGGATTACTACAGCAACAGTTAGGTGAGTGTACAGGAGGACTGAAGGAAGCAGGAAGCCCTTCTTGTTTAAGCAACAAGCATCTCTCTACATGGCAGGTTTAAAACTCGGACTCAGGCTGATTTCTTGCTGCTATCCTTATTTGTGGTTGCCTGGCCTCCTCTGAACAGAGTTCTAGCTTCCCTAGAACAGCCCATGAAAAACAAGTTGAATCCAGTACATGGCTTCAGATTCTCTGTCCCTGTGCCCTTCTTTTGCCCAATTCCAAACTCTTGGTTATATAGCTATCTTTTGTCAATAACTTTCTACTTCCTATTGAGTGCAAAATCATATGGAGTCAGATTCAAAATGTGCAATGTATTTTTTTCCATGAACTGAAGTTGCTACAGCATTGAGTTTTTTAAAATGTATTTTTGTACAACCTCAAGAAGGAAACCTGCAAACACCCTAGAAGCATCAGCTCCATAAAGCACTGCCTGAGGGCCAGGGTTGTGGCACAGTGGGTTAAGGTGCTGTTTGTAATACTAGCATCCCATATCAGCATGCCAGTTTGAGACCTAGCTGTTCTGCTTCCTATCCAATTGTCTGATAATGCTCATGGGAAAGCAGCAGACAGATGCTGGCTCAAGTGCTTGGGCTCCTGACACCATGCAGGAGACCCAGATACAGTTTCTAGCTCCTGGTTTTGGTCTGGCCTAGATCAGCTCCTACCATTGTGGCCATTTGGGGAGTGAAACAAGGAATGGAAAAATCTGTCTACTTTCTGTCATTCTGCCTTCCAAATAAAAATCTAAAGCGCAAAAGCACAACCTGGCAATCATTGGCTTAGGGCACCCTGTTACTGAGAGTATGCAATTCGTGCTTTCGTGGGCCATTAGCATCTATTTTATATGTATAATATACCCTCTATCCACTAGTAATATTAAGTCTCAAAAAGGGAATTCTCACAGTACAAAATAATATAGAAGATTATTATAAACTATAGGATTTAAATATCCCTAATAAGTGTTGATTTATGGCTGGCGCCGCGGCTCAATAGCCTAATCCTCTGCCTGCAGCACCAGCACCCGGGTTCTAGTCCTGGTCGCCCCTCTTCCAGTCCAGCTCTCTGCTGTGGTCAAGGAGTGCAGTGGAGGATGGCCCAAGTCCTTGGGCCCTGCACCCCATGGGAGACCAGGAGAAGCACCTGGCTCCTGACTTCGGATCAGCACGGTGCGCTGGCCACAGCGCACCAGCTGCAGCGACCACTGAGGGGAGAACCAACAGAAAAGGAAGACCTTTCTCTCTGTCTCTCTCTCTCACTGTCCACTCTGTCAAAAAAAAGTGTTGATTTATGGTAATAATTCTTGATGAATTCCCCATATTTCTATGATCCACTGTGTGATAATATATATGATAAAACATTAACTAATGATTAGAACCAAGATTTTCAGAATGACAAGAAAGTTATAAAATAAGTTAAATAAAAAATCCTTAATTCTTTTGCCATGATTCCAGCTATTATAAATCATTGAATGTTTATGTTTACTTATATATTTACATATATTTGGAAACAGCAGGGAGGGAGAGAGACTGCTCTATTCATTGGTTCCCTCCCCAAATGATGACAACAGCTAGTGCTGGACCAGGCTAAAGGCAGGAGCCAAGAACCCCATCAGTGTCCCCTACATGGGTGGCAGGGACCCAAGCACTTGAGCCAAAATCCACTATCTGCCAGGTGCATTAGCAGGAAACTGAATCAAATGCAAAGCTGGGATTCAAACTGGCAAAACAGGCAGTCCAACATGGAATGTGTCACCCTTGCTAGGTTTGTGGGAACTGATGACAGTCCCTTCTATCTCCTACAGCTCTAGAACTGTAGTTATTGGTGCTATAATCCCTGGAGTAAACCACACTCATGGGTGAGACCTTGAGAGCCTTACCTGCATTCCTCTGCTTCAGGCTGGCAGGTGATAGTCCATAATGCCAAGCGTAACCTGCACTCAACCTGTGAGGCATGGGCAATTCTGCAAAGGTGGGACTGTGACTGCTGGTTCTATAAGTCCCAGGGACACTTGTACTCCCATTTGGGACCTGTGGAAGGCTCTATGGGCAATCATCTCCTCCAGGCCTGTACCCACTATGTACAGTCTCAAGTATAACATGTGGTCACTGGTGGGACTCTGTGTGCTGTAGCTCATGCACTGTGACTGTTGGAGCTATATTCCAGAGTTCATCCCGAGGAACCTGAGTAAGAACCCCACTGCATCCTTCTGCTCTGGGTCTGTGACTATTCTCTGAAGCCCCAGGACAACTGTGATCCCCTGGGGTACATGGGGAAGGCCTTATCTGTATACCACTGGTCCAGGCTTACACTGGCTAGCTCACAGTCCGGGTTCGTAATCATTATCTGTGATCAACCTGTAAACAAGTTACCCTCTGAGTCCTGTAGCTCTGAGACTGAGACTATTGGGGTCACCTGGTTCTTCCTGTGGGACCTGGTGAAGACACTACCTGCATTCCACTGCTCTAGACCATGACTGTCCCTAGAATCACCTGTGCATGAAATATAAGACCTGGGCAAGATCTCTACCACATCCTGCAGCTCTGGAACTGTGCCTGTTCTAGAATCCCAAGAAACACTTGTGCTTGCATTGTGAATCCTGGGGAGGGCTCTAGCCTCATTTTATTGTTGCAAGCCTGCAGCTGCCAGTGCATGATCTCCAGTAACACCTAAGCTTTCTGCTATGAGACCTGGATGAGATACACTTTCTTCTCTGTAGCTGCTGGACTATATATATTAATACTATATTGTTCAGTCACTGAAGCCTACACTGTGGGACCTAGGGAAGACTAACTTCATTCAACTGCTGCAGGCCCACATTTCAAAGTGCAGAAGCTGCAGCATAACCTGCATTCACCATGTGGGACAAGGGCAGTGTATCCTTTGCATCCTCCAGTGCAGAGACTAGGAAGTTGGGGGCTATAAACAAGACCTGGGGAAGTCCTATTTGTATCACACAGTTGCAGGGTCACATCAATTGATGCTACAAGTCCCAGCATCATTCAGATTTCTCTGGCTGAATATAAGACAGCATGATGAACAGAGCTATTGTCATCATAAACCCCAGCATGACTGACACTCAACTATCTGGAACCGAAAGACACACATCTCAGAAACCATTATCCAACTCAAAGTCTTACATACCATCAACTTCTGGCACTCATGGATATTGCTAACATGGATTATACTTCTGGGCTCACTTAGAAACAAAGCCAAAAGAAGTATCCAACTGGCACCTCAAATTCCATCCAAAGAAAAAGTCTTTTCTTATGAAAACTATTTTGTAACAAAAGAAATGTTACACCAGATATGTAGATATCAACATAGGGACTTAGGAAACATGAAGCAAGGAAGCATGGAACCTCCAGAGGAACAATATTTTTCCACAAATAGATCCTGATTTGAAAGAAATTTATAAAATGCCTGAAAAGAATTCAGAATAATGCTAAGGAAATTCACAAAGACACAAATGCATAAAGATAGACAATTGAAAGAAATAAGGAAAACAATGCATGGTATGCATGAGAAATTCAACAGATGTAGAAATCATTCAACCAATAAGAACCAATCAGGAACTAATCAGAAATTTTGGAATTAAAAGCTTCAATCAGAAGCATAATAAATGCAGCTTGGAGCTTCAACAAAATAGACAAAGCAGAAGAAAGATGCAATATTGCTGAATAGGGGAAAGGTGTGCTGATATTGACAAAGAAAGATACCAGATGAAAAGGGAAGGAACTACATTCTCAGGGGACAGCTGGAGAGAAGTCTGCAGTGGAAAATCTACAGACAGAAGAGAGACACCATGGTGCAGTTGGTATGGTACAATCATGCAGTCAGTGGCTGGAAGGGATGCCATCTTATTGGAGGCAGGCAAGAGGAATCTGCAACAGGCTGTGTCACTGGTAATACTGCCTGAGTGAGAACCTTTTGGTCCCACTATCTTTAGTCGAGCCTGAAGTGCTAGCAGGGCTTAAGTGCCCATCTAACCCAGTGAAAAGAGAACACATTGCTTTCTTCCCTTCCTTTCAGCAAGGCGCACTGACCATTAGGGAGGAAGTGCCATCCTAATAAGGCAAATAGAAGCTTCTGTAGCCTGCACTTGACTGAAGATTTTGATAAATCTGTGGTTCACACTGACTTTGAGTCTGGCCTAGAGGGCATGCAGTGTGTGGTGTACCCACGTATGTCTGTGAAGGAGGGCACATGGCTCCCTTTCCCCTTACTCAATAAAAAGTGTTGGAATCAACTTGCCAAGGCAGAGCACCAACCAACAGACCTCCTCTGTCAGGAGACAGCTGGATCTGGGAATACTGTCGCTCTCTCCATGGACAGGAAGGTTCAAAGGGCTGAGAGTGGATTCCCCACTCCTTGTGACTAGGAACCTTATAACTGTTCCCTAGGATATAGGGTATGGCTGGGTGTTTGGGTAGTCACTGGGTCTGGTTTCAGAGGCTCCGGTTTCCCTGAGTATGTGGTGATAGGGGGATGTAGGCAGGGAAAGGTATGCTCCAAAAAAGATGGTGAACAACCCCTTCTTATCCCACATTTTGCACATTTTCCCATTTCATGTGCCCACCAAGACCCAGCCAATCATGCCCCCTTCTGTGCTTGGGGAATGCCCTGAACATCTAGATCCCTCCAAACCCAACTCCAACCAGGCTCATGGACCAACCCCATTCAAATCAGCAATAGCTCTACATGCCATTTCCAGGGTGCTACCCCAAGTGACATAGATAAAAGGGAAGTTTGACTACCCACTAAAGACCAAGGATTCCACTTCCCTAGTGGACAATCAGCTCTGGGGTCCCCTTTTGATGCCTTAAGATGGGAGAGCTCTGCTTTTATGTTCTTTCATTTGTTTTGTTCTCCCACTCATTTATAAAGGACTCATTGCTTTTCAATTCAGGCTCTTTCCTTACTTCCTTACACTGAAAGAAGTCAATGACCAGGTAGTGCTGCCCTTCCATTACATTTCTGGTGCCAACTGAAACCCTGGTTGCGTGCTTCCTGAAGCCCAAGAGCAGAAACTTGAAACCTGAGAGGTACCCTCTGGACTTGGACTCTGTTCCATGATCAGTGTGTCTGCCACAAATGGTTATGGACAGAAAGAAAGGAGTCTTGATCCTCCTGCCTTTCTTGATCCTGCAGGATTGGGAGCCCTCCTACCACAGTTAAACTACAGTGGATTTCCTATCAGTGAAGAAGGTATACTTGGACTGGGTAGATCAACCTGTAGGTTGCCTGTAGAAGGGAGTCATGGATTTGAAGCTTTGTACACAGGAAAGATTTGATTAATTCCCAACAGCAGATGTGGAGCTGTCTCAGAGAGCGGGTAGAATCACATTACCTTCCTCTTTCCAGGTGGCTGCTGAGGACCCACGTAGGGGCAGGAGGATGCCCCACCTCACTCGGATCCACAACCTTTCTCCACAGACAGGAACCATTCACTCTAAGATCCGCTCCCCACTGGAATGTCCCCTCAAGCATTGGGAGGGGTTATATCCACAACACCTTAAAAATGGGGGCCCTCATTTTCTTTTGCACCCAAGTGTGGCCTAAATGTCCCCTCAGAGATCAGGAGTGATGACCAGAAAGGAGGGACTGTCACAATCCTCCGTCTAGATTGCTTCTGTTTAAGAGAAAGCAAGTGGACAGAAGCCCTGTACATACAGGTTTTTTTTTTTTTTTTAACCTTATGAGACCATCCTGAATGACTGATTTTTTTTAACTTTTATTTAATGAATATAAAATTCCAAAGTACGGCTTATGGATTACAATGGCTTCCCCCCCATAATGTCCCTCCCACCTGCAACCCTCCCCTTTCCCACTCCCTCTCCCCTTCCATTCACATGAGGATTCATTTTCGATTATCTTAATATACAGAAGATCAGCTTAGTATACATTAAGTAAGGATTTCAACAGTTTGCTCCCACACAGAAACATAAAGTGAAAAATAATAGATGATTTTTTTAAATGATGATGAAATCAGATCAGACCTATTGTCATGTTTAATCCCAGTGAAAGTCAAGTTGGGAATTGATAACTTCTTTTTTTTCTATAGAAGATCAGTTTAGTATGCATTAAGTAAAGATTTCAACAGTTTGCACCCCCATAGAAACATAAAGTGAAATACACTGTTTGAGTACTCGTTATAGCATTAAATCTCAATGTACAGCACATTAAGGACAGAGATCCTACATGAGGAATAAGTGCACAGTGACTCCTGTTGTTGACTTTACAAATTGACACTCCTGTTTATGGCATCAGTAATCTCCCTATGCTCCAGTCATGAGTTTCCAAGGCTATGGAAGCCCTCTGAGTTCTCCGACTCTTATCTTGTTTAGACAAGGTCATAGTCAAAGTGGAGGTTCTCTCCTCCCTTCAGAGAAAGGTACCTCCTTCTTTGAAGACCTGTTCTTTCCACTGGGATCTCACTCACAGAGATCATTTTGCCAGAGTGTCTTGGCTTTCCATGCCTGAAATACTCTCATGGGCTTTTCAGCCAGATCCGAATGGCTTTAGGGCTGATTCTGAGGCCAGAGTGCTATTTAGGACATCTGCCATTCTATGAGTCTGCTGAGTATCTCACTTCCCATGTTGGATCACTCTCCCCTTTATTTATTCTATCGGTTAGTGTTAGCAGGTACTAGACTTGTTTATGACCTGTGCTTAGATGGGGAGACTGTTCCCCTCCTCCAGCTCACTGGGAAGAAGTATTAGGAGACCACCCAGACCATCACCAGAGTCCCATAACCTGCTCGCCCCCTGATAAACTATGGAGGGAGCCCAGAGATTTTGCCACTGTCACCTTCCTGTGCTGGATAGTCACTAATGCTCCACCAGAAACATGTCAGTTCATGCCTCTCTGGCTGGCTACAACTGGGAGAGTGATTAGGATTCCCTTTAACCTGTTTGAATTTAGGGAAATAAAGCAAGATCCGGGTAACTTCACATATGACTCAGAAAAGTACATTAGCAGTTTTAGGAAGCTTTGTGCCCTTTATGATCTAACTGGGAGAGATGTCAAAATCATCTGTGATGAAGACCCTTCTTTCCACAGAGAGAAAAAAGAGGTTTTAGATCAGGCTGTGCAAGTGGACAATGCCTATTATCTCATACATTCCAAGAGACACCCACATATCCCAACCAGACATACCACTGTACCTGAAGCGGAACCAGATTGGGACCCTGAGAATCCCTTCTAGGACTGGTGCCATAAGCAATTCCTCTATTGTATTTCACAGGCCTCAAGGCTGCCAGAACCAAGGGATTTAACTATACACAACTTACTCTGGTCCATAAGAAAAAGAACCCCTAGCAGTTTTTCTTTAGAGACTCCAGAAGAGTGTCCAAACATGTTCTCATAGATTCACAGTTGCTGGAGGGAGAAGTCCTCCTTTATCATAAGTTCCGAAATCAGTCACCCCCAGACATTTGCTATAAGCTCCAAAAGCTGAAAGATATGGTTTCAGAGGCCACTGAAGTATATTATAACTGAGACCATGAAAAGGATAAAGAAAAACGGGAGACATAACTAAGTGGTGGTGGCCCTCTGGGTCCCTCCACCACGGATATCCCAAAAAGAGATGATAAGGGACCAGTCTGCTTTCTCTGTCGCCAGCCTGAACACTTTAGATGCAAGTACCCTAAAAAGTGACAGATACCACCAACACTGTGCCCAAATTGTGGAGGGACCCACTGGAAAAATACTGTCCCCAGTCTTAATGAGTAGTGATGGTCCCTGGGGCCTGCAAAATTGGCCTCTGTTGCTCCAATCCAACTAGAGGATCCCTGGGCAGAATTCATGGTAGGTGGTCGGCTGGCCAACTTCCTGTTCAATATGAGGGGATGCTTCCTGATGCTTTCCTCCTATCCTGGTCCTAGGTCTCCTCATAAGGTAATGATCCGGCCGGCGCCGCGGCTCACTAGGCTAATCCTCCACCTGTGGCGCCGGCACACCAGGTTCTAGTCCCGGTCGGGGTGCCGGATTCTGTCTCGGTTGCCCCTCTTCCAGGCCAGCTCTCTTCTATGGCCAGGGAGTACAGTGGAGGATGGCCCAAGTCCTTGGACCCTGCACCTACATGGGAGACCAGGGGAAGCACCTGGCTCCTGCCAGATCAGCGCAGTGCGCTGGCCGCAGCGCACTGGCCGCAGCGCACCAGCCGCGGCGGCCATTGGAGGGTGAACCAATGGCAAAAGGAAGACCTTTCTCTCTGTCTCTCTCACCGTCCACTCTGCCTGTCAAAAAAAAAAAAAAAAAAAAAAAAAAAAAAAAAGTAATGATCCAGGGAGTTATAGGAAAAAGCCTATAGAGATAGTTTCACTCCACCCCTTGCTTGTTGAGGAGAACCTGACTTTACCCACTCTTTTCTTATCCTCCCTAAAGTTCCAATCCCTTCCTGGGAAGGGACATCCTATTCTTAACTCAATTCCTGTTAGTACCCCAGGAAACTACAAATGTAATGATATTACATTATTTTAATGAGTATGGCTTCATATTCACACTGAGGAATGCACAGGTCCTATGGGTGATTTATGCCCCTGAGTACATAGGATGTGCTGGCACTGTGGGCTTAGCCTGGACAGTTGGTTCACATGCCAACCAACATGATCATACCCTCCCCGCTGCTGACAATAGAGAAGATCTACCACGCCCAACGTGTGTATCACTCTGGACTGTTGCTCCACCATCAGGTATTGACCACAGCTCCCTGGCCCCACCCAGCACCTCTGGATATCTGCCAAAGGAGAAGACACTCCACTGAGCAATAGAGGCATGATTCAAACACAAAAGCCCTCAGAGGAGAAAACCAAGTGTTTCCACAAGAAACATGATTAAGGAAGACAATATTACTCTCAAGAAGGAATACAACATCACTTCAATATCAGAATGTGAAGATGAAGAGATTGATGAAATGTCTAAAGAGGAATTCAAAAGCATGATCATAATATTACTCAAAAATCTATGAAGCAAATACATGAGTTAAAGAAACTGATACATGACATGCTTGAGAAATTTTGTTGAGGGAGATATTGAAGAGAAAATCAAACTGGGGTATTGGAATTGAAGAATTCAACATGGCAAATAAAAAAATACCCTGGTCTCCTGCAGTGCCAACATCTTATATGGGTAACAATTCGTGTCTCGGCTGCTCCATTCCAATCCATCTCCTTGTTAATGGTCTGGGAAAAGCAACAGAAGATGGCTCAAGTGTTTGGGCCACCGACATGGAGATCCAAATGAAGCTCCAGACTTTGGCCTGGCCCAGCCCTAGCCATTGCAGCTATTTGGGGAGTGAATCAGTAGATGGAAGATCCCTCTATGTTTCTCTCTCTCTGTCTCTCTCTCTCTCTCTCTCTCTCTCTCTCTCTCTCTGTGTGTGTGTGTGTGTATCTCTTACTTTGGAATTAATAAAACTTAAAAACCACAGTGGAAAGCCTTAACAGAATGAGAATATCCAAACCAGGAAACAGTTTTTTGAAACATCTGTCAAAGATGAAGAAGATGAAGATGATGAAGAAGAAAAATTTAGAAAAAGTGAAATGAATTTTCAAAATTTATGGGATAGGCTGGCACTGTGGCTCACTAGGCTAATCCTCCGCCTGTGTTGCCGGTACCCCAGGGTCTAGTCCCGGTCGGGGTGCCAGATTCTGTCCTGGTTTCTCCTCTTCCAGTCCAGCTCTCTGCTGTGGCTCAGGAAGGCAGTGGAGGATGGCCTAAGTGCATGGGCCCTGCACCCGCATGGGAGACCAGGAGGAAGCATCTGGCTCCTGGCTTCGGATTGGCGCAGTGCGCCGGCCGCAACACACTGGCTGTAGCGGCCACTTGGGGGATGAACCGACGGAAAAAGGAAGACCTTTTTCTCTGTCTCTCTCTTACTGTCTAACTCTGCCTGTCAAATACATATATATATATATATGTATATATATATATAAATTTATGAGATAACATCAAATGAGCAAATATATGTGTCTTAGGAATTCCTGAAGTTGTGAAAAGAGAGAGTGGATTATAAAATTATTCAGTGAAATAAGAGCAGAAAAGTTGCTTAATTTGTAGGAAGATATAGGCACCCAAGTACAGTAAGCACACAGAACACATACATGACATGATCAGAAAATATGTTTAACAAAACACATTACTGCCAAACTTTCAGGAGTAAAACAGAAAGAGATTGTAAATGTGGCACAAGAGATTCTCCAGAACAACATCCTACCTAATGAACAGTGGGTCATAGAAGAAGTCAAAATATTCCTGGAGACAAATAAATATGGCAATACAATGCATGAAAATTTGTGGGATACAGCAAAAGCATTGCTAAGAGAAAAGTACACGGGGCCAGTGCCGTGGCTCACTTGGTTAATCCTCTGCAGCACCGGCATCCCATATGGGCACCGGGTTCTAGTCCAGGTTGCTCTTCTTCCAGTCCAGCTCTCTGCTGTGGCCCAGGAAGGTAGTGGAGGATGGCCCAAGTGCTTGGGCACCTGCACCCGCGTGGGAGACAAGGAAGAAGCACCTGGCTCCTGGCTTCAGATCGGTGTAGCTCTGACAGTGGCAGCCATTTGGGGGGAGAACCAACAGAGGGAGGACCTTTCTCTCTGAATCTCTCACTGTCGAACTCTGTCAATTAAAAAAAAAAGAGGAAAGTACACAATAATTAGTGCCTACATGAAGAAATTGGAAAGGCATCAAATAAATGATCTAAAAATGCATCTCAGAAAACTAGAAAAGAACAAACCAAACCCCAAACCAATAGGAAGCAAGAACTAAAAATTAGAGAATAAACAAAATTGAAATAAAAATACAAAGGTAGGTGAAATGAAGACCTCTCTTTTGAAGAACAGAAAAAATTGAGACACAATTGGCCCAACCAATCAAAAAGGGGGGAAAGACCCAAATTAATAAACCAGAGAGGAAAAAGGAGATGTTACAAAGGATGCCACACAGAAGTAAAAAGAATCATCAGGAATTACTACAAATAGGTATATGCCAACAAACTGGAAAATCTTCAGGAAATAGATTTCTGGATACACACAATTTACAAAAATTGAGTCATGAAGACATAAGAAAACCTTAACAGACCAATAACCAAGATGGTGATTAAATCTGTGATAAAGACCTTCCCAAAAAAGAAAACCCCAGGACCAGATGGCTTCACTGCTGAATTCTATTTTTTTAAATTTTTACTTGTTTTTAAAAAGATTTACTTATTTATTTGAAAGGCAGAGTTACAAAGAGGCAAAAGGAGAGAGAGAGAGAGAGAGAGAGACAGAAAGAGAGGGAGGATCAATCTTCCATCCACTGATTCACTCCCCAAATGGGCACAACAGCCAGAGTTGTGCCAAAACAAAGCTAGGAGCCTGGAGCTTCTTCCAGATTCCCCACACAGATGCAGGGGCCCAGGGACCTGGGCCATCTCCTACTGCTTTCCCAAGCCACAGCAGAGAGCTAGATCAGAAGTGGTGCAACCAGGACTTGAACCAGCTCCCATGTGGGATGATGGCACTGAATAGCAGCTTTACCCACTATGCCATAGCACCAGTCCCATCTACCAAAGTTTATAGAACTAACTTGAAATTCTTCTCAAACTTTTTAAAACAATTAAAACTGAGGGCATCCTCCCAAACCCTTTATATAATCCCAGATCATCTAATTCCAAAACCAGAAAAAGATACAACAAAGAAATAACTATAGACCAATATCCCTGATGAACATAGATACTAAAAAAAATCCTCAAAAAATACTAATTAAATCCAACAATGCATCAGAAAAAAAAAATCATTCACATGGACCAAGTGGAATTTATCCCTGGTATGCAGGGATGGTTCAATATACACAAATCACTAGATGTGATACATCACACTAACATTGAAGAATAAAAACCATGTGATTATCTCAATAGATGCAGACAAAGCATTTGATAAAATGCAACACCCTTTTCTAATAAAAAACCATAAGCAAATCAGGTATAGGAGAAGCATATCTCAACAGAATCAAGGCAATATATGACAAACCCACCACCAACATCATACTGAATGGAGGGAAAGCTGGAATCATTTCCACTAAGATCTGAAAACCAGACAAGGATGCCCACTCTCATCATTGCTAGTCAGAATAATTCTGGAAATTTTATCCAGAGCCATTAGATAAGAAAAAGAAAACAAAGGGGTACAAATAGGGAAGGAGGGAGTCGAATTATCCCTGTTTATCTATGATATGATCCTATTATAGGAGAACCAAAAGACTTAACTAAGAAATTATGGGAACTCATTAAGAGAGTTAGCAAAGCTGCAGCATATAAAAATCAACACAGGGCTGGCGCTGTGGCACAGTAGGTTAATTCTCTGCCTACGGTGCTGGCATCCCATATGAGTGCCAGTCCTAGTCCCAGCTGTTCCTCTTCCAACATATCTCTGTGCTGTGCCCTGGGAGGGCAGTAAAGGATGGCCCCAGCACTTAGGCCCCTGCACACATGTGGGAGACACGGAACAAGCTCCCAGCTCCTGCTTTCAATCAGCTCAGCCACTTAGGATGTGGACCAGCAGATGGAAGACCTTTCCCTCCGTCTCTCCCTCTTACTGTCTGTAGTTCTACTTCTCAAATAAAAACTTTTTATAAAAATCAGCACAAAAGTTTGATTGTATTTGTATATGTAAGTAATGTGGCTGCAGAATAACTTGTAAGATTCCATCAGAATAGCTATAAAAATTTGAATACCATCAGATAAATTGAACCATCTCTACAAAGATCTCTACAATGAAATTTATAAAACATTAAGGAAAAAAAATAGAAGAAACAAAAGAAAAAAAGGAAAAAATCTCCTATGTTCACGGATTGGAAGAATTAATATCATCAAAATGTCCATACTCCTCAAAGCAATTTACACATACCAAAGATGTTCTCAGAACATCTGGAAAATATGACTCTGAAATTCATATTTAATTATAAGATACTCCAATAATTGAAGCAATCCTAAACAATAAAAAATTAAGCTGGGAGGCATGATATTACCTGATTTAAAGACATATTACAGGGCAGTTATAATGAAAACAGCCTGCTGCTGGCAGATTTCAGGACATATTACAGGGCAGTTATAATCAAAACAGCCTGATACTGGCAGAAGAATAGACAAATGGACCATGGAACAGATTAGGAACCCCTTCTGATCTGTTTTACTGCTTTCCCAGGGACATTAGTAGGAAGGCATATCAGAAGGGGAGCAAGATCCCTGCCTAACACCCTATACAAAAATCAACTCACGATGGATCAAAGATCTAAATCTAAGACCTGAAACCATCAAATTACTAGAGGGAAACATAGGGAAAACACTGTAAGGTACTGGCATCAGAAATGTCTTTTTAGATCAGACTCTAGACATATAGGCAATAAAGGCAAAAATAAAAATCAGGATTACATCAAGGTAAGAAGCTTCTGCATAGCAAAGGAAACATTGGACAAATAATGAGGCAAGTGACAGAGTGAAGAAAATATTTGTAAACTATCAATCTGATAAAGATTAATATTAGGATATACAAGGAGTCCAAGAAACTCAACAACCATAAAACAATCCAATTAAGAAATGGACTAAGGACATGAACAGACATTTTTCAAAGGAAGAAATACAAATAGACAACAGACACATCAAAAGATGCTCAGGATCACTAGCCATTAGGCAAATGCAAATAAAAACCACAATGGGGTTTCACCTCAGTCTGGTTGAAGTAGGCAGGCATACAGGTTAAAATTGGTCAGATTTGTGAACTGGAAGACCATACCCCTGTGTGACCTCATGCTCCTACCTGATGCCTTTGCCACGCCCCTGTGTGTCCTCATTCCCTACCTGGCCATACCGGGGTGCCCACCAGCCAATCAGGTTAATTAACCACTCCCCTTTGGAGTGGGTTAAAAGCCTAGGGCACAGTGTGCCCGGGCCCCTGCTCTTCTTCCCTGGCCTCTTGCCAGGACAGGGCTTGCTGTAGCCCTGCACCTCCAGGGTGCATGGCCTTCAGGCCTAGATGGCCTAGATGCTCATCCACGTGGCTGGTTCCTGGTGCTTGGTATGAACCCCTATTCACTTCTCTCCCCTAAATAAAGCTCTCACCCTTCTATGCATCTTTCTCCCTAAATAAAAGCTTAAAACGTACCATGCTGCCTCATTTCTATGCCAGTATTTTGAATTCTTCTCTAAATACTAAGCAAGAACCCTCTCGGGCTTATTAATATCAGGGATTTGGTAATAAGCCTGTGGTGAAATAGTAAGGCACCCCAAATTCCGGTACCGCATGTGGCACCCCGGATAGCATTTCTAGGGAACTTTAAGGGGCCACATTTCAGGGTAAATATTAGGGGGTCTTCTCCGATTTCACAGTTAGAATGACTATAATCCAAAAATCAAAAAATAACACACTGGAAAAGATGTGGAGGAAAAGGTATTCTAATAAACTATTGGTAGGAATGTAAGCTAGTACAACCATTATGGAAGACAGTATGGAGACTCCTCAGATATCTGAAAATTGATATACCATAAGACCAAGCCATTCCACTCCTGGAAATTTACCCATAGGAAATGAAATAAACATATGAAAGAGTTATCTATAACCCCATTTTTCTAGCAGCTCATCTCAAAATAGCTAAAATATGGTGTCAACACAGGTGCCCATCAACTGATGGATGAAAAAAGAAAGTGTGATATATTTACAAAATGGAACATAACTCTCAATAAAAAAAATTAAACCATTTATCATAGTGTTCATTTCACTTTAACAGCTTTCCTTTTTGGTTCTCAGTTAGTTGACGGAAACGGTGACTTGATCAGCCCTCACCCTGACTGTTGATGAGCAGCTTAATATGTTATCCCTCTTAGTATTTTTTTTTTGTTTATTCTACTTAATACTTTTGGTTGAATACTGTAATCAATCCACAATTCTTCTTAAGTGCTGAAACTTAACTGAAAAGTGATCGCTGTTAAATATAAGAGTGGGAATAAGAGAGGGAAGAGATGTGCAATTCAGGACATGCTCAAGCTGACTTACCTCAAATGGTAGAGTTAGAAACATACCAGGGGATTCGAATTCAATCCCATCGAGGTGGCATGTACCAATGCCATCTCACTAGTCCCAGTGATCAATTTCTGTTCACAATTGATCATAATGATAGGACTAAGAACCAAAGGGATCACATAAACAAGAATAGTGTCTGCAAATACTAGCTGATAGAATCAAAAAGGGAGAGAATGATCCAACATGGGAAGTGAGATACACAGCAGACCCGTAGAATGGCAGATGTCCTAAACAGCACTCTGGCCTCAGAATCAGCCCTTAAGGCATGCGGATCCGGCTGAAAAGCCCATGAGAGTCTTTCAGGCATGGAAAGCCAAGACACTCTGGGGGAAAAAAAAACCTAAATGAAAGATCTCCACGAGTGAGATCCCAGTGGAAAGAATGGGTCATCAAAGAAGGAGGTACCTTTCTCTGACGGGAGGAGAGAACTTCCACTTTGACCATGGCCATGTCTAAATATGATCAGAGTCAGTGAACTCAGGGGGCTTCCATAGCCTTGGCAGCTCATGACAAGAGCCTAGGGTGATTACTGATGCCATAAACAAGAGTGTCAATTTGTTAAGTCAACACCAGGAGTCACTGTGCACTTACTCCTCATGTAGGATCTTTGTCCTTAGTGTGCTGTACATTGAGATTTAATGCTATAAGTAATACTCAAACAGTATTTTTCACTTTATGTTTCTGTGTGGGAGCAAACTGTTGAAATCTTTACTTAATGTATGCTAAACTGATCTTCTGTATATAAAGAGAAATGAAAATGAATCTTGATGTGAATGGAAGGGGAGAGGGAGTGGATAAGGGGAGGGTTGCGGGTGGGATGGACGTTATGTGGGGAAAGCCATTGTAATCCATATTCTGTACTTTGGAAATTTATATTCATTAAATAAAAGTTAAAAAAAAGAAAAAAATACTTAGCATTGATACAATCAATTCTAGAGTCATAAAAAGGATTTTGAGATCATAAACTAACATCGTGATATTATTGTGTGGTGTGATTGACATGCCATAGTGCAATCATTGTGATGTCATAGAATATATGTCATTCATATTTTTATGTAAGTTCCCATCAATTGATATGTCCCAAACTGATTTTTGTGATATCATAAATATTTGTGGTTAGTCTACTGTGATATTATAAATGAATTATTGTGCTGTTAAACCATTGTGGTGTAATAATCTGGTTTGATATAATTTAGCACTGTAATGCCATAAACTTACCATTGTGATTCCCTAAAAGTTATGTCAAAATCATTTGTAATATTTTGTACCGTTGTGAAGTCATAAACCAAACATTGCAATGTCAAAAAAAAAAATAAACCTTTTCTTTAGCAACAACATGCATGCAATTGGAGACCATTATGCTTAGTGAAATAATCTAGTCCCCCCCAAAATAATATTTGCCCTGATTTCATATAACTAATATACAGAGTACATAAATGTGTAATATATATGAGCAAATTGACATTTTGAGATTCCATTATTGTTTATAACACTTGTCTATACTCCTGAGGAACATTGGCTCTTTTACTTATTATTTGTTGAATTTTTATTTACTGGAAAGCTCAGCTTGTGATTATAAAGTTAATTAAAACTATGTCATAAAAATCAAAAGAAAAATAAGCAAAGTAGGAGAAGGGAGAATGATTTTGCGGGAGGAAAACAGTTTGGTGGGAAGTATCATTATGCTCCAAAAGAGTACTCATGAAATACATGAAATTTGTTCCCTTTATAGGAATAATTTAACAATGAATTTCTGATATTGAGCCCAATACTTTTGAAATAACCCAAAGGAAAAAAATAAATAAAAAGAATTAGCAAGACTAAAAAAGACCAATGAGACATATGGAATACCATTATACCGACAATAAGTGGATGAGAGTGGGGAATACCCTTGTTGAGCCAAATAAGGCCTACAAGAATATTTGGCCTGGTCCTGACAAAGCAATTGCAGGTGAAACTCTAAATTTACTAAATCTATTGCGTGCTAGTTTTTGAAAGATTTTCTTGTATTTTATTTGAAAAGCAGAGAGCGAGAGTGAGAGAGAGACAAAGAGAGGGGTGAAGAGAGAATCTTCCATCTGCTGTTTCACTTCCCAAATGGTTATAACAGCTGGGGTTGGGCCAGCCTGAAACCAGGGGCCTGGAATTCCATCTGGTGGATGCACCCAGGTGGCATCTGTTTTACTACTTTCCCAGGGACATTAGTAGAAAGCCAGATCAGAAGGGGAGCAGCCGGGATCAGTCTGTGCTCTCATATAGAATGCTGGCATTGCAGGATGTAGTTTAATGCACTTCATAACAATGCCAGCCCCCTTTCAGTTGAAAATTTTCATGGCCCTAGAGTGATTTTATAAATATCCAACTGGCCCTTGCCAGAAAACAGATTCTCAATCCCTGATTAGTGATGCTGAAGGAGAAGATAATGAAAAAGGCATTGAGAACCTATTTAACATAGTGGTTGAAATATTCCCAAGTCTCAGAACAGATATGGACATTCAGATATGGGAAGCTCAAAGAACCCAAATCAGAATCAACTAAAAATACCTTCTCAATGGAGTATTACAGTCAAATTGTCAAAATTAAGGACAAGAGAATCCCAAAGTCAGTGATAATAAAACAAATTACATAGAAAGGAAAACTCATTAGACTAACAACAGATTTCTCAGCTAAAACCCTGCAGAGCAGAAGAGAATGATATATGCAAGGTCTTGAAATTTTAAAAAAGTAAAAACTTTCAATCAAGAGTACTATATACAGTGAAAGTATTCTTTTGAAGTCAAGGAGAAATAAATTATTTCCTAGATAAACAAAAACAGAGAATTCATTACCAAAACGCAAAGATATATAATGATGGAGGAAGAAATAAAAAAAAATGTATAAAACAATCAGCAAACAAATCAACAAAATGGCAGGAGTTGTTTCTTTTCTAGTAATATTAACTTTGAGTACTTATGGCTTAACTTACCTGGTTAAAAGAAATAAGTTATCCAAATGAATTAAAAAACAAAATCAAAACAAGACCTATGTTGCCTAGCAGAAACTCACTTCACAGGTAAAGACACACATGGTAATACCTGATTTCAAGACATATTACAGGGCAGTTATAATGAAAACAGCCTGATACTGGCAGAAGAATAAACAAATGGACCATGGAACAGATTAGGAACCCCAGAAATTAATCCACAAATTAGAAGAATTAACATTATTTAAATATCCATAATACCTAAAGTAATAGCAATCTACAGAGTCAATGTAATCTCTATCAAAACACCAATGACATTCCTCACAAAACTAGGAGAAAACAATGCTAAAATACATATGGAATCACAAAATACCCAGAATAACCTCAGAGATCTTGAGTTTTAAAAAGGAAGAAGAACGCTGGAGGCATCTGAATACCTAATTTCAAAGCATACAACAAAGACACAGTGATGAAAACATCATAGTACTGTAACTGAAAGTAATTCATACAACAATGGAACATAACAGAGAGCCCAGAAATTAATTCAGATTCATACAGCCAACAGATATTTGACAAAGGTACCAAAAATATTTTTGGAGAAAGGATAGTCTTTTCAATAAATAGTGTTCACAAAACTAAACATACATATATAAAAGAATATAATTGGATCCCTACCTCTCACCATATACAAAAATCAACTCAAAATGGATCAAAGATATACATGCAGTACCTGAAGCTATGACATTGCTAAAAGAAAACACTGGGGAAATACTTCAAGAGATGGATGAAGGCAATGATTTGTTGTATAAGACTCCAATAGCACAGGCAGAAAAATTAACATCAGGAAAATGGAATTATATCAAACTCAGAAGCTTCTGCACAGCACAGGAAACAACCAACACATTGAAGAGGCATCTGAGAAAATGCGAGAAATTATCTGTAAGCCACTTATCTGATGAAGATATATCAGGCACTCAAAAACCTCAACAACAAAAATAAAAAATCAATACAGCTAATAAATACGCAAAGGAACTGGACACTTCTCCAAAGAAGAAATACAAATGTTTTAAAAAATGAAAATATCACTAGCCATCAGAGAAATTAAAATCAAAACCACAATGAAATATAACCTCACCTCTGTTAGAATGGCTATTATCCAAAAGAAAGAAAGTAACAATTGCTAGTGAAGTTATGAAGAAAGGAGATTCCTACACATTTTGGTGGAAATATAAATTAGCATAGCCACTATGGAAAACAGTAGAGTGAATTCTTTAGAAATAGAAATAGAACCGCCATTTGATCCAGCAATCTAATTACTGGGTATATTTCCAAAAGCCATGAAATAATTGTTTCATAGAGTTACCTGCTTTACCATGTTTATTGCAGCGGTGTTCACAATAGCCAGGATATTGAAAAAGCAAGATGTGCATCATCCCATAGATGGACAAAGAAAATCTCTCTCACACGCACACACAAAATGTTACACTGACATGGGATTTGCATAGTTAGGTCTCAGGAGCTGGAAACTTCTACCTCTTACCTTCAATCAAATGTCTGCCTTCCCATAATGCTCCTTACACATAGGACTTGCATGCAGAGGCTATAGAAGGAGTAGAAGACATGAGAACAGCCTCTTTGTGCCATGGACCTTGTGTAAAGTCATTGCGCCTGTCTTTGATGCTTGTTTTGTTTGCCTGTTCAACAATGAATGGAAAGTTTCAAAACTGTATTGTCTCCTTATATGCAGACATACCTTCCCTTTAGCAGGCAATGCTTTCAGTTTCCCTGTCTTCCCTAGATTATGGGCCATTCTTTGGCCCACTTGCTTGTATTTCTTTGTGTAGGGCAGCTCACATTCACACATAAATATGTATTCACGGGGCCAGCGCTATGGTATAGCAGGTAAAGCCACAACCTGTAGCACTGGCATCCATATGCATGCCAGTTTGAGTCCCAGTTGCTCTACTTCTGATCCAGCTCCCTGCTAAAGTACCTGGGAAAGCAGAAGAAGATGGCCCAAGTACTTGGTCCCTGTACCCACGTGGGAGACCTAGAAGAAGCTCCTGGCTCTTAGCTTTAAATCGGCCCAGTGCCAGCCATTGTGGCCATTTGGGAGTGAACCAGTGGATGGACAATCTTGTGTTCTCTATTTCTCCCCACCCCCCACTGCCTCTCAGATAAATAAATTTTTATTTTTTATATTTGCTCCCTTGTTACCAAATAAACTGCCCTCATTTTCACACAATACTTGTCTCCACTTAGTATTTCTATGGAGGAGATGCAAGATCCTGGATGAAACCATTCATTGTGTGCATCATAATGATGAGCCAGCAAGGAGTATATAACCCCAAAATGATAATGCATGACTAAACCTTGATTATAGATTTGTTTCTGGTATTTTGGAAAGTGCTCAGGCAGTTTAATATTCTTTTTCTTTGTTTTTTTCCTCTGTTATTAGAGATTCAGGTGATTTTTTGAAATGAAAGTATTTATGCTTTTGCTTTTTGCGTAGGTAATTGTTGGAGACAAGCCTCAGACTCAGGCTGAAAAAATTGTTAAAAAGATTGTTCATCAGTAGGCATGGGCTGGAAACATTGTGCTCAGGTATACACCTTTTACAGGCAATATATTTTAAGAGCTAGTACTTGGTATGGAACAGGCCAGTTCTTAGAACTGAACCATAACTACTGGATAGCATTTGTCCAACCTGGTTTTATCCTCCATATTGTCATCTGCTCATGGTATGACTCCCTGCTCCTCTCCTTTGCTTACTGGGAGGAAGAAAGAAAAGGGCCATTTCCTGATGTTAGTTTTTATATC